TGAGACCAAACATGCATATTACTGTGATGCCACATTTCTTCTGTTTCTTCACTGCAAAACCCCACTGTGGCCCCTTAATAAATATGAACACATTCAATTTCACTGTTTAGTGCCAGAAAATGAGCTGCAAATCCTTAGTAAATATCCCCCTAGGTCTCTAGATTACAGTAGTACACTCAGAGTGAAGCTTTAGTTTCTCAATCAAATATGATTTGTCTTCACTAACAGGTCCAGACCTTGATACCTCTTCTTCTGAATCTTTGAGAAGCCAAACAAGCCAAGCCTTTCCTACAAACAACCAACTGTTCAACCAGGATGCAGCATGGGAGCTGGATGAGAAAGTGGCCAGTCAGGAGAGTGATGAGCCTGTGGTGCAGTCAGATGAGGACGATTTTCAACTGGATATGTCATTGGTTGGCTTGCCAGATGTTGACACATTGAGGGGCTCTGAAGAGAGTGATTCTGCAGGGGAATGTAGTCTCTGGGTAACCTAGCAAACAGGTCATTGAAACTCCTTAATTACTGGAAAACTAACTATTGTCAATCCACAAAAATACCCCTGTGGTGCTGTTTTGACTTGACGCAGGTCTCATTACCAGCTGACATGTCATCCTCTTTCCTTTAAAGCCTTATGTCAACTACTCTTTTTTAGATTAGATATGAAAATATAACATGCTGAAATTTTACTTGCTAGGCCTACTTGCACTGTGACATGTGTTTATAGTTAGTAATCATAAACCAACAGAAACAGCTGATTTACCATTTCCTCAAATTAAATTGATTGTATTAGCCCATGAAACCTTTTCCATGCATAGAGACTAATCAACGCTACATAAAGTGAATGCCTGACATGTCTGTTGGTATAAAGCATCTTAGTTATAGCTGGGAATATGGCAGATGCCACATTATCATGAAGGTATTTTAGTTGTCTAAGGCCTACATTTTGCTGTATAGCACAACTGCATTCACAAGCTAGAGTGACCTTTATAAGTTGGGGAAAATCTATCTCTAATAAATCCTTTATATCATCTGTTAGCTTACTGAATTGACTGACTGTCCTCAAGATTTAGATGTATTATTATACCTCATATTTCCTTTTATGCTCACTGCACTAAACTAAACATGAAATTAGCTGTACTGCTCTACTTCAAATCCGGATACGATATAGGGAACTTCTGACAGGTCTGCAAACTGACAGTCAAGAAGTCTTAAAAGATATGCCTGGATATATGCTATATTTTTCATATTGTAAATTGTTATGTAAATTTGCAATAAAGTCAAGAACACAAGATCTGTCTTTGTGATGTTTACAGTAATAAGGTTTTGCAAAAGGGCTCAGTGTACACAGAAATCACTCTCCACAGGCAAAGTATGATAAGCACTCCCTATTTGTAATTTTGCTATCAAAGTAAGTAGACATAACGGGATATCCTTGTGTGCTAAACACTGAGGCCTGCATCCCGTCTGCCATACTCGGATAAAAGGGTGCCAGACAGACAGCAGCATGGAGCACATAAGGTCAACACTCTGCTGCAGGAGTTTTAACAATTGTTTAACAGTTAATAATACACATTAAATTTGCCAAGGAATGAGAGAGCAACCTATGAGTCCACACCACCTACAGTATTGTTCAAAATAATAGCAGTACAATGTGACTAACCAGAATAATCCAGGTTTTTAGTATATTTTTTATTGCTACATGGCAAACAAGTTACCAGTAGGTGCAGTAGATTCTCAGAAAGCAAACAAGACCCAGCATTCATGATATGCACGCTCTTAAGGCTGTGCAATTGGGCAATTAGTTGAAAGGGGTGTGTTAAAAAAATAGCAGTGTGGCATTCAATCAGTGAGGTCATCAATTTTGTGAAATAACAGGTGTGAATCAGGTGGCCCCTATTTAAGGATGAAGCCAGCACTTGTTGAACATGCATTTGAAAGCCTGAGGAAAATGGGTCGTTCAAGACATTGTTCAGAAGAACAGCGTACTTTGATTAAAAAGTTGATTGGAGAGGGGAAAACCTATAAAGAGGTGCAAAAAATTATAGGCTGTTCAGCTAAAATGATCTCCAATGCCTTAAAATGGAGAGCAAAACCAGAGAGACGTGGAAGAAAACGGAAGACAACCATCAAAATGGATCGAAGAATAACCAGAATGGCAAAGGCCCAGCCAATGATCAGCTCCAGGATGATCAAAGACAGTCTGGAGTTACCTGTAAGTACTGTGACAGTTAGAAGACGTCTGTGTGAAGCTAATCTATTTTCAAGAATCCCCCGCAAAGTCCCTCTGTTAAAAAAAAGGCACGTGCAGAAGAGGTTACAATTTGCCAAAGAACACGTCAACTGGCCTAAAGAGAAATGGAGGAACATTTTGTGGACTGATGAGAGTAAAATTGTTCTTTTTGGGTCCAAGGGCTACAGACAGTTTGTGAGACGACCCCCAAACTCTGAATTCCAGCCACAGTACACAGTGAAGACAGTGAAGCATGGTGGTGCAAGCATCATGATATGGGCATGTTTCTCCTACTATGGTGTTGGGCCTATTTATCGCATACCAGGGATCATGGATCAGTTTGCATATGTCAAAATACTTGATGAGGTCATGTTGCCTTATGCTGAAGAGGACATGCCCTTGAAATGGTTGTTTCAACAAGACAATGACCCCAAACACACTAGTAAACGAGCAAAGTGTTGGTTCCAAACCAACAAAATTAATGTTATGGAGTGGCCAGCCCAATCCCCGGACCTTAATCCAATCGAGAACTTGTGGGGTGATATCAAAAATGCTGTTTCTGAAGCAAAACCAAGAAATGTAAATGAATTGTGGAATGTTGTTAAAGAATCATGGAGTGGAATAACAGCTGAAAGGTGCCACAAGTTGGTTGACTCCATGCCACACAGATGTGAAGCAGTTATAAAAAACTGTGGTCATACAACTAAATATTAGTTTAGTGATTCACAGGATTGCTAACGAGAACGGTGAGGAATCAGCCCAGAACTACTCGGGAGGAACTTTTCAATGATCTCAAGGCAGCTGGGACCATAGTCACCAAAAAACAGTTGGTAACACACTACGCCGTGAAGGACTGAAATCCTGCTGTGCCCGCAAGGTCCCCCTGCACATTTACAGGCCTGTTTGAAGTTTGCCATTGAACATCTGACTGATTCAGAGAAAGACTGGGTGAAAGTGTTGTGGTCAGATGAGACCAAAATCGAGCTCTTTGGCATCAACTCAACTCGCCGTGTTTGGAGGAGGAGGAATGCTGCCTATGATTCCAAAAACACCATCCCCACCGTCAAATATGGAGGTGGAAACTATATTTGTTTTTGGCGGCCTGTTTTCATTTTAGTTTTAGTCTAGTCTTTGTGTGAAGCTGTCATTTTAGTTTTTATTAGTTTTAGTCATATTCATACTCTTTTTAGTCTAGTCTAGTTTTAGTCGACGAAAACTGATGACATTTTAGTCTAGTTTTAGTCAATGAAAATGGTATTTTAGTGTCTTTTTAGTTATGCAATTCTATTTAACCCAGTCAATGTAGTATAAGTACCTAGTAGTATAGATGAAACCAAAATTTTCTTTTAGCCAAACCCATTTCAAACAAGGTTATCTTATTATATTATTGTTACCTTATAGACTCAAGAATACAGTATTGTTCAAAATAATAGCAGTACAATGTGACTAACCAGAATAATCCAGGTTTTTAGTATATTTTTTATTGCTACATGGCAAACAAGTTACCAGTAGGTGCAGTAGATTCTCAGAAAGCAAACAAGACCCAGCATTCATGATATGCACGCTCTTAAGGCTGTGCAATTGGGCAATTAGTTGAAAGGGGTGTGTTCAAAAAAATAGCAGTGTCTGCCGTTGACTGTACAAACACAAAACTATGTACATTCAATTATCAATTATGAAATAATAAATTAACTGAAAACAATGTGGTGACATATCTTTAGGTGCACCACACTAGCTGTAGTTTAATTTACAAATATGAGTTAATGGGTCTATTACAGTAATTGACAGCATTAGTTTTCTGATTTCTCTCTGTTTTAAAGGGTATCTTTATGACATGTGGATGTTTTTATTCTGAAAACTAACCCACCAGCTTGGACAATGTCAAGTGAAATAAGTTATACTATGAGCATCATATAGAAAATCTGTTGATGTACATTAATCACTTGTGTCAAAGCTTTGACAAATGCCAGTGACAGCAGTGTAACAGGTGTCGCGCTCCTACTGTATCTTGATATGCAGCAGCACCCACTGTAATATCTTCCGCCGCTGCTAGAATCTGATCACTGTGCAGGCCTGGACTCACTCCAGCCGCAGTCAGCTGATGTTCTGCTAATCTACCACAATTAGATTTGATTTTTCACAGCATGGTTATCAAATCCGGGGATTAAATCATAACAGGACAGGTGCAAATCACACTCAAATGCAAATGTGTTTTTCCCCACCTGCATTTGTTTTTGTTTTTTTATCTCTGAGAGGCATGTTTTTTAATACTCTGGTCAAAAAGATAAAATATTCTAGCTGCCATTTAATACATTTCAGTGACTCTTTCTTTGTAACCGTTTTGTTGTCTTTTACATTGTGTGCTCACATGCATAGTTAATGAAAAACATGCAGAAGACAGGCAGGTCATGCATGACAACAGCACGTTACAAAAAATGATTCAACTTTTTTCAGCCATTTACACCCGTTTTAGTTAACTGACACCCAGCATAATTACTCTAGTTCTCCTGCTGACTGTGGTCTGTGTGCACCTATTTACGTAAACCTGGTGGTGCGGTAGCAGATGGTGCAAACAAAACACTCAGCTCAGTCCAAGCTAGAGTCACCCAGCATTTGGGATGAAAGCAGCTGTTTAGACACGATGATCGTTAGGGATTTGCTGGTCTCTTGCATAAATATGTTGCTGGCCAGTACAATGAGCCTCGAGTTTTTATCTGGGATGATTTGGCTTAGTTTGTATTACTCTTTGGGGATTGAGTCAATGCAGAGTATGACAGGTGTCTATGCACCCGCCATCCGAACAACCCTCCGTTCCTGGCTCCTCCCATCAGCCTCTGCTCTCTTTGTGGAGGACGACTGCTTTGGGTTGATGGAAGACATGCTGCGGCCATGCCCAAAACCTTCACAGGATGCCACATCCAAGATGGTGGACGAAGAGGACGTCAAGGAGGAGCCAGCTGAGGGCAGGTATGTATGTCTGTTTTTTTGCCCTGTGTGTGCAATAAGAGGAGCTACTCTGTTCAGAGAGTGTTCTAATTATGACGAAACTTCACCCTGGACAGTGCTGGGTCAAGCCCCGCCCCCATGCACACCTGTGGGCCGCCAATCAACCGTCCCAACCAGTGGTTCTTCTACAGCTCAGTGGAGGAGGTGGATCAACTGATAGAGGCTCTGAACCCTCGAGGTCACAGAGAGAGCAGCCTGAAGGAGGCGCTGCTGCAGGAGAGAGACAGGCTGCAACAGGTGCTGCAGAATTGTGACAGGAACAAGTACAGGCACGCAGGTAAATACACAAGGATATACCTGTACGCACACAGGAAACACACAGCTAAATACATGGGTAACACACACAACTAATGCAGCTAAATACCTGTAACAGATACAGGAAACACTCACAAGATCACAGGTAACGGCCATAAACCCGCAGCTAAACACTGCTAACATACTGATATCACTGTGTCCAATGACACCTGTAAACAATCACTTGTTCTGTTTGTCCAGATAATCCAGAGTCGCCCCGATCCTTCCCAGAATGCACTGCTACGGCTGAGACTGTGATGGAAGTGAGACTGAGAGACCTGCTGCTGGACATCGAGGATCGAATCCACCAGGGAACTCTGGGATCTATGAAGGTACACACACCTGCCCGTGAACACACAAGCAGACACAGCTGGGAATCTCAGACTCACCTGTCTCTCCCTGTCTGAGCCCAGGTGATGGACAGACAGGTGTGGCGCTCAGCATTGGAAGCAGGAAACTACGAACTGCTCTCCTCAGACAGAGAGAACGGACTGGAGGCCATAGAGATGGACTCCGCCCACCTGAGAACCAGAGACAGGTACACAGCAGACATGTGGGGGAGACTTAACTTTGTTTGCTGTCATCTTCTCAATAATGCTGCGAGTGGGGCTTAAGGAAGTGATGTCGCCTGCGTCTGCGCAAAGCTGGCATATCAGGTGACGTCACGGTTTGACGTTGCCTGCGTAGGATGGGGCTAGCCCAACCATGTGATTAAATTGTATAGGCTATTAGGTTCGGGGTTTTTCATCTTCCGGGCTGCCTGCGAGCAGCTTTGGGGGTGGAAGATGCCTGGACGTGTGATGTTAATTTTGCCTGTGATCCTTTGAATAAACCAGCACAGTTATATTTTTTATATACTCAAGTGGTCCGCCTCGTCTCTCTGAGTTTCTGGTTGAAAGAACCGGACGTGGCTTTATAATAGAATAGAGCCTTTACTGTAAACAGCTTTTTAATATCTTTTACAATTGCTTGCATAATTGATGTTTACATTTTGTTTCATTTCAGTAGCCACACTCTAGTAGTCCTCAGTGTAGCACTACTCTTACACACACAGTTATGACACTGTAAGAGTCAAACATTTGCGAGTAGCTGATGTTAATCATGACCTGCTGCACTGCTTCATGACATCAAATGCACATTACGGAGTCTGGCTTGTACTGTAGCTGGCAGCAATGATGTTGTGGGATAGAGCAATAAGTTAGCTGTCTCAACTCCCAGTTTCAACTCTCATTTACCCCTTATGCTGCCATGTGAATTACTCTGTCAAGTCACTTTTAGCGCTGCATTATGTTTATTTATTAAACCTTCAATTAATATGGTACCGTTAGCTATTCGGTTCACAACCCTCATGGGTCCTTTAAAAATCCATCCAAATCATTCCCTCGTGACCAAAAATGTACACTTTGGAAATAAAGCTCTAAAAATGTCATAAAGTCATATTTATTTCCACTTTAAACTAGCCTATCTTTTAAAACTACTTATGCCTGAAATATACATATCAAATATTAATTATATTTTGGGATTTTTTAACCCTTAAAATGCCAGTATGTTGTCATAACCCCTCTTTTTTCAATGGGAAAAAAATGAAATAATTTTCAGAAAATACATTTCAGCCAGTATTTGATTAGTATTATTATTAGGCCCTGGGATGGGTCAATGATTGGTAGCAACATTGATTTTGATGCATTATTTCTTTTTTTTGGCAGTGGCAGATTTTAAGTGCCTAGTGGCAAAAAGTGTCCACTTACAAAAATGTCATAAACTCATATTACCCTGTTGTGTTCTAAAAATAAATTAAAAAAATACAAGATTAGTTTGAACCAGAACATTTATTTACAAGAACAATGAGCAAGGAACACTAAAAACATTAACTTTGAATCACTCTGTGTATTAGAGTCCAGCTCAATCAGAGGCTGCCAATAGAAAGGGAGTGGTTCTTGCAGATAAACTTGTGGCACTTACAGCAGGTGCTTCTCTTTTGTGCACAAATGGCACTGCGTCTGCCCTTGACTTTGCTCCTCTGACTGTGCCTGCTGGAACGTACCTCAGCATCTGGTCGTTTGGGGGAGACCACAAAAGCGTTCCATCTGTCCATGCAGCACCTGCTCCATCAGCCATGCTCCTGCTGCTATCTTCAGAGCTATCACTCTTAGCTCTTTGTCTGCATGAATACACCCAAATCTTCTTGCCATTTCACCAACTAATACTACTCCAAGTCCAATTTTGTTTGGGTTCTTGCTTCTCATCTTGAATTGTTTATAAAATAGATTGTAGGCTTGTAAGAGAAAGGCCTTATGAAGTCCGACGCACATGTGCACGCACTTACGTACACGGGCAGGCACGGACCGTCACGTGCATGCAGGCATGGACGGACATAGACACACAACTCATGGAGTGCGCATCAGCAAATCTGAGCAGAAGACGAGAGGAGACAGATGAGCCGAGAGGAGACAGCCATGCACGAATGCGGTTGGTTTCGATTCAGATCTTGAATTATAATACACAGAACATGGCTTTCTAAGACAAAAAAACCTATGAAGTTGGACACAGACACACCCATGTGGTTGGTTTTATGCAGCTAGAACTACGTGTGCATGTAGGAACACGCGCACAGACACAATTACGTAAGTGCAAACAGAATCATAATGATATAACACACAATAGTGATGCCCACTTTATCATTTTCGGTCTTTCTGCAAGTCACCCTTGCAAAAACATTGGAAAAATAGAGAAATTTGGATGAATTGGCATGCACGGTTTCAAAATGTTTGTGGATCACCATCTGGTGGTCAACTACTAAAATTGCATTTTGAGACCCTCTAGTTTAAAATGGTGTATTGCTTCAGGGCATTGAAATATGACATGATATGATGTATTTGGCATCAAAAAAAGCATTTTTTAATGGTTTTCAATGTTGAGTAACAGTAACCTATGTACATATGTGTATTTTATTATTTCAGCCATTTTAGTCAAATTTAATAAAGTGAGACCTCAACTTTTTCAGTTAAAAAATAAATAACCTGTAGCAAATTTGAGCTACATTCATTCAACACAGCTAAAATGGCTTGCAAAATAAAACGCAAAATATTTGCAAAATTATTCAAAATAAAATGCAAAGGCCACCTAAAGCCACATGAGGGTTAAAGGCACCACCTGGGTATGCACCAAAAATGAACCAAGAGATAACACCACAGACCCAACTGACAACTGTCATCTGATAGTGGCTGACTGACTGGCGAAGATGCGGCAGCCTAACTCACTTTTACCAAACCCTTTAAAACCCACAGTAAAAAGAACAAAAGAGGCTCAGTAGTTGCTGCCAGAGGCTCTGTTAGTTTGTTTTTTGATGATCCAGAAGACCAGCGAAGCAAGTCAGGAAGACACATCAACAGCCATCCTGGCCTGCAGGGGGAGAATCTGTAGAGTCACTACCAAGAGTGGGATGCAATTATGGATGCCTGTCTAGAGGGAGACAGGTTTGGAATTATGATTCTCAGCAAAATCCAACAATCACTAACTCAGAAGAACTAATGACTTGTGATCAGTGAGAGATTCTTTGACTTTTATTCAGTAAAGCAAGAGCTCAACATTATGATCATTTTAACTTGAACTTCAGAGTTGAGAGTGAACCAAAAAATGTATTTGTTGATGATTTTTGATATTTTGCATTATTACTTGCTGCGGCTGTGGTTCAGTGGGAGCGGTTCTTTTCTAACCAGAGGGTTGGAGATTTGAATCATGGTGCCTGCAGTCCACATGTCGAAGTGTCCTTGAGCAAGACACTGAAACCCAGGTTGTAACCGATGGTTAGAACCATTGGTGTTAGTTGGGGTTGCAGATGGCTAACTCGGTTCTATACCGGAAACAAATTCCTTGTCTGTAACATACTTGGCCAAATAAAGTGATTATCCTTATCTTAACTCTAAAACTATGTAAAAATTATAAACCTTTAAACTCTCTTTATTGAGTTATCCCTATTAACTTGTGTCAACTATAACTGTGGTCAAAACCAGCTTCTTTCACCTGAGGCTTTTAACTAAAGTGAAGCACCTTTCTTTTCTGCCAATTTAGAAAAAGCCATTCACGCTTTTATTTCTTTTCGACTCGATTACTGTAATTCCCTTTATATCGGAATTAACCAATCTCTTCTTCGGAAGCTACAGCTGGTACAGAATGCTGCTGCTCGTCTACTCTCAAATACCCCCAAGTATTCCCACATCACCCCTGTTCTTTACTCGCTGCACTGGCTGCCAGTGAAGTCCAGAATTGATTTTAAGGTGTTATTACTTGTATTCAAATCTATTAACGGCCTTGCTCCATTATATCTGTCCGATGTGCTGTTCATTCGCGCTCTGCTTAGGGCTCTGCATTCCTCAGAACAGGTGTCCCTGGTCATCCCGCAAACAAAATACAAAAAATGGTGTGATTGAATGTGAATGTGGTGTGATTTCCGGGTTGCAAGCGAGAGCAGACGTCTTTACTTTTCCTCTTGTCTGTTCTACGATTTTTCACATCTTCTACATTGTCAAGTCTTTGAACAAATTCTACAACTACTAAAATGCCTCCAAGAGGGAAAAGAGCTAATAAATTCGAAGCAAGCAAGGATGTTGAGGCTGAAGAAGATTCTATTTCAGCAGCGCAAGTAGCTGAGATGTTGAATCAGCAGAAACTTATGTTCACCACGCTTATGTGCCAACAGCATGAAAGTTTCCAAGGCTTTGTGAAACTAATTATGGAGACAAATAACAAGAGACTCGACGACATGACCAAAGAAATGCAGGAGATAAAAACGAGTTTGCAGTTTACCCAGCGAGATGTGGATGCGATTAAAGTGGCCGTGGGGGTGCGGGAAAAAATTGCCGAAGACACTAGTCGGGACGTCTACAAAACCCGTGAGAGTCTAATAACTA